TGCCCGCTGTTGCACAACATTTCAGGGAAACCTGCCATTCAAACACAGAAACCGCACCAAAACGTTACATTGAATGTTCACATTATTACACCACTGCACTGTATTTTGGGGCTTTTACATTGACATCGTGTCCAGTAGGCTTACTTTATATTGTAATTTTCATGGGACGTTATTTGCTTTCGATAAAGGCAAATATGAACAGATGAATAATACAATTCAAATAAATTTGCAGCTGCATTTAATTATAACAAGAAGCATATTCTCTTTGTATTTGTCTGATGTAATATGGTTGGCACCTCAGAAGAATGAGTTTATCTAAGCTGAAGCTCATTTATTCCTTATCTTTTTTTTTTTAACTGTCTTTTCCCAGATACTGCTACAGTGTACATGCTATCTTGGCAGAGGGCCGACATATTTATTATAATTATTCGTGTGTCACTTTAATTGAAAGTTTGAAAAGATATTTTTAATACTGTTCTCAGTGGGGCTGGCCACACTGACTCATTATTCCTGGAAAGCGACAGGACATTTGACATTTTTGCAAATGTCACCCTCGGAGCTGTGAGCACCACCAATAAACTGCGGTTCAGACGGGCTGTGTGTTGGCACATTTATGTTTTATTTTAACAATATTTATTGTGTACAGGCATTCACATCTCAGCTGTAGCTAATACACGTGTTGTGGATTATTTCAGCTGAACAGACTTGACTTAAAGATTTAAAAGCTCAAAAAAAAAAGTCCGATTAAATTAGAAAATGTGTTTTGCAAATTGGATGAAATGGCCGTTTATTTCTCATCTCCACTGGATCTGACTGAAGCAAATAAATTCTAATTGTGTTGTTTGTGACTTTTTAAGCACAGCTTTGCAGATTTCTCCCTTTATCAGACGAGGTTTACTGTTGCTATGCGTCCAAAGTCCGTTTCGGTGTATTTAATTCTCTTCTTTTATAAGATTTTATCAAACCTGTAATCAGTGTAAACATGACTAACAGATGAGCAGTGTTGCCTGCGCGGTCGTTCCAGCCAAAGCCCAGGAACATGTCAGTGTATGAAGGCATTCTGACACAAAATGACCCAACTTAAGGCCTGAATTATTTCCTTAAGAAAAAGAAACAGCATCTTCTTAAGGGACTGAAACAGTAATTTCCAGTATATGCATATCCCAAAGGATTACACGGAGGCTTTGCTGTCAGTATTAAAGAAACAGCTTCCTGCATTAATTATTGCTTCTCTGAATGAGGACTGGTGCTTTTATTTTTTGCTTTTTATCCTCGGATGTCTGTGAGCACATAGAGATCCTAAATTATTAATTTGTGCCGACTACGAAACGTCCCCTATGGATCTTAATCGAGGCTGAAGACCTCGGGGCCCAATTTTCCATGAATGAATAAAAAGTTTCCTCCTTAACGCAAAGAAGCGGCCGCGGCGAGCGCAGCGCTGCGGTCCACAGTGCGCTCCGGCTGCCTGTTTGGGGCCGTGACATCGGTTAGGGCCTCTGTGACACTACACCGACGGTTCAAACGCAAAATAAAGAGATTTAAAATCAGTCAGACAAATAAATCAATACGGTAAATGTATAAACAACAACAACAGGAACCCCTTCAGAAATCGCCACAACACCTCCGGGTGCATTAACATAGCTGCTGCTGCTTTTGCAGCTCGTCTCCTGTCTAACAGAGTTTCATTAGGTCTTCCTCTCCACTGGCTCTTCATCGCTGTTTTCATGGAGCCAGCTCGAGAGTGGATTCAAAACATTAGCGCGACTCAGGCGGCTGATCGCGAGGTTTATGCTTTATTTACGTGATTAAAATAAGAATACAGGGCTCCTCTCGGTGACAGGAAAAAGAGAGCATCGGGGTCCTACCGTCAGCGGCCAGGGAGCTCTGCATCATCAGCATCAGCACCGCGCCGATGGTCACAAACCACCGGGCCACCATTCCATTCAGCACGCGCGTCCTCTTCCCGATCCTCGGCGAGTAGATGGCCACCATCCCCGCATCCAGGATCCATAGCGACGAGGAGGAAGAGCAGGGGTCTTCTTTCTTATTTACCCCTCCGACCCCGGGGCCACCGCTGCTGGAGAGGCGCGCATGTTTGGGAGCCATTGGTCAACCAATTAATCCTGAATGGGAAACATCTAACGGCGCTGCTGGGATGAAAGGCATCCGATCAACCTGCCCCCGGTTCGGACAAGCAGGGCTCCGCTCTCCATGAGCCTGCTGGAGGCTGTGAAGGTCGACGAGGAAACAAAGAAGCGTTAGTTTTCTCCTTTTGCGCGTCTGGCTGTGTCAGTTTCTGTGTGCGTGCGTGAAGTCTGATGTCCCTACTGCGTCCGCAAGGCGCTCTCCATATCTGCTGGCAGCTGTGTCAATGCACAGATACAGACCCGGAAATCAACCGAAGTTCTCTTCAAAATAAAACCGCGTGCACTTTGTATACAAGAGCTATTCTTCAGGCTACTACCTTTTCAGATTTTTCTTTCTTTTCTTTTTTTTTAAAGTCAATTTCTGAAATTTTAAATTGAGAAGAAGAAGTCTTTTTTATGCAACCAATTTTGGTTACCAGCATATTACCACTATATAGCCCACTGCACTTGTGGTGCAGTAGGCTATATAGTGATTTTTCTTGATATAGTGATTTACTTGAGCGTTTCAGATGCTTTATACAGAACCCCTCATTCACACATATTTACATTTATACAAACACCTTTTTTCTACGTCTAACTGATTGCTATCGCTATTGAATTGGGAGCAACTGGGGTTTTAATATCTTGCCCAAAGATACTTTGGCATACAGACTGGAGCCGCCAGGAATCAAATCACCAACCTTCCAGTTGGTAAATAACCTGCTCCAAGACATCCCAACTGCAGGTATGTCCTATTGCCCAGATTTAAGAAGGTTTCGATTAAAAGCAATGCGTTTATAGTAGATATTCTTTTGCTGCTCAGTTAAGATTCAGCAGAATACTTGGTCACATTTTGCATTTCCCTCTGCAGGTCAGAATATACTTGATGCTGCAGCCTGCTGAGCCAGCCTACTCCATACAGGATAGAGGGTATACTGGAGGTTTTCAGTGCACTAGAGTGTAGCGCAGTTCGCAATGGACCAAGTGTTCTGTCCCTGTAGCAAATAAGACACCAGGCTTAACTTTTGTGCATATTTTGATTTGGGTGTTCTGTCTATTAAATTTTAAAAATTTCCCTTTTATGTATACGGTCTATTTTAAAAATTGCATATTTTGCCTAAAGCT